TCAACAATCTAAGTGTCAAGTGAGCACAGGTGGTAAATTTTTCAGTTCCAAATTATAGTTATAACAAGAAACTTGCGAGAACTAAGTTGAAAAGTAGGGGTAAAAAAATGGCATTGGAACATTTAGTCGATAACTTCAGTTGGGGGGAAAGTCAAGTACTGATTTGTCCCTATTTTATTTAACAATAATATTAATTTGAGTTTAGGATATTTGGAGACAATAGGAATTTCAATTTGGACGAGATTGTAAAAGAGATAACTTACTTCAAAGGAACTTCATATTATATTAATGAATTTTGTATGACTGGACAATATAATTGCCCCAAAAATAATTTCAGTAAAATAGCAATTTCTGTGAGTGGTCTTTTTTAAACTAATTATTTGCATGCAAATATTTAAATGAAAATTATAATAATAAAATCTTGGATGTTCTTATGGTATTTTATCGTAAGAGACAACCTATTTATTGAATCTTACTTTTTATTTAGGCTAGAAGTACTTGTGATGAAGTATTTTTAAATTGCACTTGGAACAATGTTCGTGACTTTGACTGTTGCAAGCATTTTATTCTAACTGAAACTGAACTAGGAATTTGTTACACACTTACAATGGAAAACGAATCGTTAGTATACACAAATTAAGGCCTATGGTCATGTAAATACATCATTTGGGAAAAAAAATTCATTGCATTAAATTTCTGTAATTTTTAATCTACTAATTTATTTATGCAGGCCGAATTCTGATGATTTTATTGACATGTATTCTAACCGAAAGACAGGTCCAAGCAATTTACGTATAACATTATCATCGCCAAGTCAGGTGTTTACAAATTATAATATGAAAAACCTATTAACTTTTTGCACAAGCCAAATTGCTGTACTATAATATTACAGGCTTTAATAAAAATTACTACTAAACCTCTACTTTATGCTTCTGTATAATATACTTATGATATTGGTACAATTTTTATGAATTTTAGTAATTACGTATATTAGTTACTTAGTTGATGATTAATAAAAATCACCTAGATATATGTATATACAGTGATACTTCTTTATTTAAAAATCTGTTGTTAGATTTTGTTRTAGTGAAGTGATAATTATGTAATTTAAAATTTATATTATTATCTAGAGCCCAACTTAGGTTTTTATTAATATAATTATTTAAAAGTAAGTTATGACTTTTACTAAATTATAATTTTTTATTAAAATCTATTTAACAAAACTCTTCAAAATAAGAATTTTGTTTTTGGATTCTACAAGACTGAAATATGGATGTTGCACTGTATATTAAAATATTATCAAATTCTATAGTAATATGTGTAATGCGTATAGGTTTTTATTCACTCAGTAGTAGATGTACCATATTATAATACAATAAGTACAGATATTTTACAAGCTACAATGGGTATTTTTAAACAATTCAAGTTTGTCATTAAAGATATTGAAAATGAAGACGAAGTCAGATTTGTCGGCATTTCACAACGCAGGTAAAAACTGTTTTTCTATGATTAAAATATTAAATCACTAAAATCTTATATAATGCATAAGATGGTAATAACAAACATACATTTTTTTAAGTTATAATCAAGGTTGATAAATAAAATAAGCGTAAAAAATAAATTTTTGTCGAAAACGGTCCTAATTTATTTATAACAAMACGTAATTTGATTTAATGATTAGTTAGTTTAATAAAACATAATAGTCATGTTACAATATATTTACACAAGTTTAGATGCAGATTTCCATTGGAGAATTACTTATATGTCAGTTCGAAATATAGTTATAGTTCTTGTATTGTAAACTGCCGCCGTCAAAAGCAACTAGAGATGTGTAATTGTACTTCTCATTTAATGCCTAACAGCAGTATGTCTTCCTAAAACCATATGAAAAAAAGTTATAATAAAAACAATAATAATATTGATTTTTTATAGAATTAAATGAACAATGTGATATAAATGGAATTATATGTTTGAATACACATTATGCTGAATTATCGGTGTTAAAAAAGAAGAAAAGTAAACGACCAGGTTTAGAATGTCAATGTGTACCTTCATGTATTGAAGCTGAAATAAATGTCATAACAGTTGAATCATTTATGTATGTTAATCAATTAAGTATTTCCTGAACAAAATGTAAAATTATTATTTTTTTTTAGAACTAATGAAAACGAATCAATTATACAATTAATGATGGATAGATTACCAGCAGAGCGTCTTAAACGGAATGTTGTTAGAGGAAGATTAGATGTATTAGGTAAGATTTTTTAAAAAAGCATAGTTAAATCAAATATATAAAGTTAATATATGACACATTAATATGAAGCATGATTAGCACTTGGAAGGACAATGAGAAAATTTGACATATAAATGTATTTTACTATTTATACATAAATTACTAATTAGTATTAACTATTTATATTGATTAGGGTATAATTATTAATATTATAATAGTAAATAACTTTCAACATTGATTTATGAATACAGTTTTTAAATTTGATAAGATTAAAAATGTATACTGTGCAATAATATTTATATGATTTTATACACTATTAAAATTTATAATTGAATAATTTTTTTATCTGGCTTATAATACTGCTTTATCTGAAAGTTATATTATCACTTTAACATAAATTTTGGAAGTGTCAAAACTCCAAAATATGCAAAAATGAAACGAATAAATAAACTTATTTACAAAAATGTAT